GTGTAGTGTAGTGTAGTGTAGTGTAGTGTAGTGTAGTGTAGTGTAGTGTAGTGTAGTGTAGTGTAGTGTAGTGTAGTGTAGTGTAGTGTAGTGTAGTGTAGTGTAGTGTAGTGTAGTGTAGGGTAGTATCAATAATTAGGTTTACCGATAAAGTATGCTAGATTTCGACACATTTTCAAATTTTACAAAGTTTGCGCGCTTGTCATTTTTGTCAAATGGTAAATCAGAAAGGATCGTGACTAAAACGCCACACGAGTACATACGAGTAACATACTAGTAACACACAAGTACATACGAGTAACACACGAGTACATACGAGTAACATACGAGTACATACGAGTAACATACGAGTACATACGAGTAACACACGAGTACATACGAGTAAAACAGAAGTACATACGAGTACATACGAGTATTATACGAGTACATACGAGTAGAATACGAGTAAAATACGAGTAGTAAACTTGTTTTTAGTGTTTGTAGATTGAATACAGGCAAAAAAATCGTCTTCTCTGTCGAAAAACGTGGAATGGGGGAACGGGGAATGGGGGAATGGAGGAACGGGCAATGGGGGAATGGAGGAACGGGGAATGGGAGAACGGGGAATGCGGGAACGGGGAATGGGGAACGAAGGGAATGGTGGGGCGAGGAAATAGGGGACTGGGGAGGTCTGCCCGATTCTATAAACCACAACTTGGTAGTTTGTACAACATCTACTTTTAGGTATTCTACCTAGATAGTTAGATACATGACCGAAACCATAGGATTCACATATTTCACAGCATGGTTTGCTTTCAAAACCCTGTGAGCATGCACATAACCTAACTGCATCTATACTTAAATAGTACTAGGTGATAAACTTACAATCCTCACATAGCCTCAATCACAACATGTGGCTAGGCAAATATACGAACTACACAGTTAACTTATACCGCGACATACGACAGTTCCGAGACCGAAATACAGGACAACAGGGCCTTTTTTAAGGATTTTCCCGTGGGGGGCATTTTTTGAAAAGGGACCTTTCTGTGAGATAATATATTAGAGGGGGATAGCAATGGCCGACGGCCACGTGTGTGGCCGACATACTCCCCCAGAAAATGTTTTAAATTTGAACCTTTCAAATGCCATTTCCTGCTTTATGAGCATCTAAATTTGCTCTAAAATTTATGCTAATTATACTTGTATTTGAAATAAAAAAGGAAAAAATGCAGAAAAAATAAAAGAAATATTAACAATAATTTATCCATTACTTATTATCAAAGGGGGATAGCAATGGCCGTGGGTCACGTGTGTGGCCGACATACCGTGAATGAATAGGGGGTCTGGGGGCATACTTCTCCAGAAAAATTTTGAAATTTGAAGCCCAAAAATGCCATTTCCTGCCGTCTGAGCATCTAAATTTGCTCTAAAATTTATCCTAACTATACTTCTATTTGAAATAAAAGAAGGAAAAAACGCACAAAGAATTTAAAAAATATTAACAATAATTTATCATTACTTATTGTTAGAAACACGTAGGATGCGCACGCGGTGACACAGTCCTTTAAATCGATTTTGTTAAACAAGGACAAAGGATAAAGCCTAAAACTTACGTTTCGTTTATCAATTTGTTATTCTTCGTTGGTTTGTTTGTATAAATTTAGGAAAAAGGGACTTTTTCTTGGGGGGGGGCAAATGTGATTTCGTGGGGGAGGGGGCACAAGGGGAGACTGGGGGGGAATGGCCCCCAAGCTTGTATGTTAAAAAAGGCCCTGCAGGACAAATCCAGTTTTCAAGTGAGCCTCAGAACGTGCATTTTCATTTCCGATCAGCCTGCATCAGAGCAAAGTATCCAAGCTTTCTTGGCGACGTTCTCGTTCCTCCAGAGTCCTCCCCTTTTCAAGGTGGAGCACGTCCAAAGGCTTGCAGGAGAGTTCAGCTGGGTCCTTTAGAAACGTACTTGCCAACTTAAATTGCTAGCTTAAAATCTGCGTATTTTGAAGTATTTTGTGTTTTGTTTGCTTTGTAAGATATTTAAAATAGGATAATCACTTTAAGATATCATATGGAGCATAAGGACTGCCTTGGGCTTGCATCTAGTCCTTAAATTGTTTTATTATATAGCAAGTATATTAGTAATGACATAAGCAATGTTATTATTATTAATATTACATAATGATCGGACATAAGCAATGTGGATTGACTTTTTTTTGATACGCTGAACTAATAAAGGAAAGCTTCGCTAAATTTCTTTACTAGTTTTAATTCATTGAGCGGTTTTCTAATTCCCAAGACACCGGAGTCCGTTTTATAGTTTCGTAATTCTCCGATTCCCATTTATCCTGTCGAATTTCTGTTTCTTTTTTCTGTTCTTCCCCCCCCCCCGTACATATGATTAATATTACGTATGTATTAATAATAATTCATAATTCCCCGATTCCCCTGTCCCCCCGTTCCTCGTTCCCGCATTCCCCGTTCTCCCATTCCCCGATTCCCCGTTCTTCCATCCCCCCATTGCCCGTTCCCCCATTCCCCGTTCCTCCATTAATTCCCTGTTCCCTCATTCCCCCATTCCACGTTTCTCGACAGAGAAGACGATCTTTTTGCCTGTATTCAATCTACAAACACTAAAAACAAGTTTACTACTCGTACTTTACTCGTATTCTACTCGTATGTACTCGTATTCTACTCGTATGTACTTGTATGTACTTGTGTTTTACTCGTATGTACTCGTGTGTTACTCGTATGTACTCGTATGTTACTCGTATCTACTCGTATGTTACTTGTATGTACTCGTATGTTACTTGTATGTACTCGATGTACTTGTGTGGTGTTTTAGTCACGATCATCAGAAAGATATTATTGGCGATTTGTGTTGACTAATGTTAGTAGTTTATAGAAAAGTTAAAGTCATGTGCCAATCAAGTGCCACGATTTTAAAATAAGCTTTCAAAGTTGATATATTTTGAGTCTAATTTAAGACGATATCCGTTATCCGTTCAGGAGGGTCAATAACTGCGCTGTTTTCTATGTTATACCAAAGAATAATTATCTAATTCATATCACCAACGAAAATATAAGGATAAGTCTATATTTCTGAGCAAAAATTTTGAAATTTAGGTATGAATTTGATTTAAAAAATAGCGCTGAAAATATGTCGATATTTTGCCTTCATTCTGAGTTCAAGTTGGTTACCAGCCGATCGAACATCAATCGCCCCCCAAAATAATTTAATGTTACAGAACACCTTTGAGTGTTAATTTTGCCTAAAATTTCTTAATGGTTTCCATGAAAGCATTAGACTAGTCCTACTATCTGACCAAGTTTGAACGAAAAATGTTTAAAACTCGCAGAATTATTTAATAAGATACATTTCGCTGCAATAAAGAAAAACAGTGAAAACGTAATATTCAAATTCAATTTTCTCACAAAAAATTTTACGGCAATTACTGGTTTTCAAACGAGTTGTTCTCCTGCGGGTTTTAACGAATTTTTCTCAAATTTTCACAGGGCATAGCTAAAGACGTCAGTTTCAAAATGGTGTTCGGCTTTGTTCTAATTTTGGATATTTTAATAATAAGGAGCAATTCACTCAAACGATTCAGAAATATATTGCAGTCGTCAAAGAAATCGCCATATCAGCGGAATGACGAAATAAACAAAAATTTCCGAACACAATTTTTTAGAACAACTATTTTAATTACTGTATTAAAATGATATTTTCATAAATATATCTTCAAACCAGCAGGAACATAACTCAAAAGCGTAAAGGTACCGCGATTTAAGATTTTCCTGAAAAATTCTTACATTATTTTATTGTTTGTCAATTTTACAACTTCACCATATTTTGCATGCACTGGCTAACATTTAGTGAAAATTTGATGAAAATCGGACTGATTTTGAGCGATTTTCCGAAAAACGCCAAAAAGGGTGTCCTGTAACCTTAAAGGACATTTGAGTAAAATGAAATCGATTTTAGTTGTTCCCAAGGATAGATCTTCAAAATACTAGAGTATGAGAGAAATTTATTTTTGAGCACCATATTGACCTGGAGGTTTTTACGGAGACAGCCTCTTAAGCAGCCACTGTTAATCCATACCTCATTAATGATCTGCCCCCTAACCTATGTGTTTAACCCACCTTGCTAACTTTCCCTGTGGGAGGAAACAGGAGAACCTTGAAAAAACCCACGACTTTCGGCAGAGCGTCGACTTTTACTCTTTTCACATGAGGACTGGGTTCGAGTCACATTGAGAAAGTTCCTCACTGAGAATCGAACTCGGGGCTAAGAGGTGAAAGACAAGTGCAGTAATCATTTCGCCACCGAAGCCCCAATGTCTATAAACTGTCTATAATGCTGTCTATAAACACGGACAATAACCGTTATTATTATTTAGTATGGCATCGCCTTTAGATTATTGGGCAAAACTTGCTTTCACCGACTTTGTAAAGTAAGTGAACCACGCGAGATGCATGCGGAGGAGGCTACGTTTCAATGAAAACTGGAATATTTATTTTCGAGATATTGGCGGGAAAATTGGCCGTTATTCGGTTATTGTCATATTTTAAATTAGTTTTGATAATCTAATTAACAATCGCCGTTTTGATTGGTTTTATTTTCGTGCACCCAAATCACTGTCCACTTTTTTTTACTTCAGTAGCAGGCTCTATTTCAAGCATAGAGCCTGACATATGCAGGCTACTCTAAAAGGAAACACAGTTATCGGAATAATTTAATTGTATTGACCAGTTGTTTGGTGGCAAATATTATGCAATTTAGCATATCCAGTTACTCGCTCTCATAAGGCATAAGCCTCAATACATTTGAAGTTGACCATCATGTGTTGCACTATATACAACTGACTGAGTGAAACCTATATCTATACTTGAATGCCGCCACCCTCATATCGTATGCAACATCTCCGATAATTACAAGTGGTTTTTGAAGCGAAGGGTAATTTGCAAAGGCCAATCACAATGGAAAATAATTTTATCAACGTTTCTTTCCAGATTTAATGATGGAAATGTCACGATCAAGTGTAGCCTTGTTGATCCTCGTCAATTTCCTCCAAGTTCTTGAAGGCGGAGACTGTATAATTATTGGAACATACCTTGGAGCGTTACCAAATGGTGTGCGACCTCCAGCCCTGTCCTCGATCCACCCCCAAGGTAAATTTTGTTTTGTAGTTGGATTTTGCCAAAGATGTGTCTTACAATGGAAATTTTCAGCCATTTTCCGAGTGGACAAGATTGGGCATCACCAAGCGGAGTATCAGTATCACGGCAGACAAAGGGAACAATCCCAACCGAAAATACGTGATCTCTCTTGGTGGAGCGGCAAACTTTGGTGGAACGTTCAGAATTAGACAGGGGCTAACCGTCGAGCAATGGGTGACAAATGCAGTGGCATCTATTTCTCAAATACTCACGAATTTGAGTGCAGATGGTGTTGATATTCCGCAGGTAAGTTATTTTGCGTTGTTAGCCATAAACTTGTTCCCTGCTCATTGAGTGCGATAACATTTGCTAAATTGGATCAACGTCAACGTGTGCAAGTATATTAGAACACAGTTAATAGACTATATTAAGAATTACTGTTACTGTGGTTATAGAGCTAATGGACATGATTTTGCGAATAACATGCATGCCGATACTGAACTATTAAAGACAGGAATTATCATTCTTGAAACAAACATTTAAGGTCATGACCTTGAATGTTTGTTCTTTTCATTTCACGATTGAAATTTCTGCTCCACAAAATTTACCCTTGTATATATACTGTTTTGTTTATCTTAACGTTCGAAGGAGGGACAAGATACATCAAATTCAGGCCAGCAGTCACCTGTCTTGCCCAACAATTGAAAGCCCTGGGCTACGTCACAACCTTTGGTCCTTACTACGGTGGAACTTGGAGTGATTACGTCGGTCTCCCACTAAACAACGTCGATTATGTCTTCTGCCAGTTCTACGCCAAAAACCTGGGGAACGTTAACAGCGTTGTCACGGACATCACACAAGCAGCAAATGACCTGGGCGGTTGGAGCAAGCTTGTCGCTGGATTTAATTCTAATAATAGAAATCCAAATCCAACTGTTTCGCTGCAGGCCTTTCAACGACTCAAGAGAAATTTGCAGGGAACATTCACATGGGCCGCTGAAATCTCCAAGTCCAAATCGTCCACCATATTGCATTGAAAAGAGTTTTGCAAAAATTTTAGACAAAAACCAGTCTCCTGGTTCCTGTCACTGGTAAAAGTCGGTGGATTGTTTTACAGATACTTTTGAATTATTCGTTATATGATTATATGTTCTTTTAACATTTTGTCTATTATCGTACATAATTACGTCGCTGAATTTTTAGGTCAAACCTTCTTCTTTAAAAGATGACACATCATACCAATAAAGACAAGTAATTAGCATACTGTATTCTTCTTGTATTATTCCATTTGATGTTTGTTTTATAAGTTGCTGTGTTATCATTCATTTATATTAGAGAGCTTTAGATTTGACTACGTGTACGACTACGAGATTCGTCATTTTTTTCGCGAAATGCACGCCATATGCTTACACTCGATCCCGTACCGAACGCGAAAAAATCGTAGCCGTCGCCCATCTGAGTACGAAATTTTGGAAAAATCTCGTAGTCCTCACGACGACTTTTTAAAGCGAAGAAAGTTGTTGCTTGTTGCTTTTGTGCAAAAATAATTTGTAGAAATATACTTATTATAGCGTTTATTCGGCGTATTTTTTGAAAGCGGAAGCTTAAATTATACCGGAACTTTTGAGCTGCATATTTATTATTGGGCGAACGCGGGAAATCAGGGCATGTCAACAAACATGGCGAAATTCTAGGTTCAAAATTGTAACACTTCTGGGAATACTTTGTATTCTTGAATATTTAAAGAACGATTAATCGACATTTTAGCGAAGTGTGAACCTAAAATTCTGAAATAAAAGTGGATTTCCGACCAAATGACTGCAAATAGTACATTTATTGTATATAAAATATTTAAAATAAATAATAGCAATTTATATTCATGAATTATTTGCATTTCGTGTATTTCGCTCCTCATAAAAGGGGCTTGTATTGTCACAGGAGGCCCAGGCTCGATTTGCCCGCGCCCGCCTGTGCCTTCCTTGTAATGAGGGAAGGAAGGAAACATTGAGACCAAAATAGCCCAGACTGGCATATGTCACACGAAACTATCCTCGATTTTTCGCCTTTAATGCATTTCTTTCACGATTAATCGATATCCCCTGCAAGAATGATACCGTATAACTCTCAAAACAACGATGCTTTAATCAAAGAGCTTAAATTCGCTCTGAAATCCGTGAGGAAATAACAAAATTCGCCCAAAATATATCCGCGTGCCGGGTTTGCTGGACAAAAAGCGGAAGTCGTTGAACAACTCAAAATACACTCAACCCTGATTGGACAACGAAAATCAACAAACATTTCAAATTTTTCTCCACTGGCACCGGGAAGGGGGACAGTACTTGGAACAGTACTGTAATAATTTGATTATTTGAATCAAAACAATTGACAAACGTTATTATACTGACTAAACTTCTTAAATTTAAATATTTAGATTTGCACTGGTTTCCCCCCGACAACATTTGTCAATTGTTTTGATTCAAATTTATATTACATTACTGGCTACAGAAATTTGAAATGTTTGTTGATTTTCGTTGTCCAATCAGAGTTGAGTGTATTTTGAGTTGTTCAACGACTTCCGCTTTTTGTCCAGCAAACCCGGCACGCGGATATATTTTGGGCGAATTTTGTTATTCCCTCACGGATTTCAGAGCGAATTTAAGCCCTTTGATTAAAGCATCGTTGTTTTGAGAGTTATACGGTATCATTCTTGCAGGGGATATCGATTAATCGTGAAAGAAATGCATTAAAGGCGAAAAATCGAGGATAGTTTCGTGTGACATATGCCAGTCTGGGCTATTTTGGTCTCAATGTTTCCTTCCTTCCCTCGTTATAAGGAAGGGACAGGCGGGCGCGGGCAAGTCGAGCCTGGGCCTCTTGTGGTATTGTAGGAGATTATAGCTTTCATGAGATTTAGTTAGAAACTTTATTTCTAGTTGTTTATTTGCTGGTAAATTGAACGGAAACGAGGACGATACGACTTCCTCGCACGCCATCAAATCTCGTAGCGGTGGTCGTACTCGATTACTCGTAGTCAGATACATAGCTCTCTAATATAATGCCACACCCTGCGTTGTAAAATTTTTGAACGTAATTTAAAAACGATGCAATTCACGACCCAACGTTTCGACATTCCGGTCTAGCTAGTGTATTTATCAAGGGTGATAATTAAGTGACTGCTATAACGAGTTATCTATTGTGCTCGACTTTCAGTAATGATCATATTTTCTGTTGTAATGCAGACAGTCATCCAGCAGATATAAAACCTTATAATATATAATATATTATATAAAATAGCATAATGACCGCCGTCGTCACGATACGACACAGCAAAAACGACCGGTTTGTTACGTTGGAAATTCATGCTCAAAGCTGTTTCAGTACAGGATACGAGTGAATTTGCACAAATTTGCAACATAGTAATTTTCCAAACTAATTTGGACGGTATTTGTTAGCGTTGCAAAGCTGCAAGTACTGTGATTGTATCGGATTGCCTCCCTATACAAACCTGGAGCAAATTTAATGTATAGTTTCATCTCTGCTATGCGAGTTGTTTTTACTCCGTTGAAGGCGTTGTTTTAACTCCCTGTACTTAAAACAACTCCACAATAAGAGTATATTAATCTATGGATTTCAATTCCACATTCGGGAGTGGTTTAATTCCACAAATAGAGAGTGATTTAATGCCATACCTACTCCATTTTTGGAGTTACAATAAATCCTCTCCATTTAACTCCCAGGGTTGGAGTAGTTTTGACCCCTTGAAATTAACTGTGTGGGCAAACGATGAAACGATGATACGAAGTGAAAATAATTACGTAATTAAATTTTAATTAAACAAATTTTATTGTAATTTAGACAGTATTTAGCGACTGGAGGACCGTACTGAAAACAAATTTTCGATGTTTCGAAGCAATCCGAGACCGAAGGCTGCATGAGGGATGCTAATAATTTTTAGTATATGGACCGACCTAAACGGTAAATAATGCGTTTATTTTCTTGCTTCATGGTTGGACAGGGCTATTTCAGATTCCTAGTGGTGGGGATTTCACAACATATAGCTTCCTTTAAAGTATTCGTGGTATATTATTTGCGAGACCAATATCAGACACAGGTCACCGTATCAATATCGTGACCAATATCAGACACGGCAAAATTTTATAAACTCAATGATTTAATTGCATACGGTCGTAGACGGTCGTAGACAGTGCATTTTGCTACAAAATTTGCGAACACTATTTTCACCTCGCGAAGAGTTTCTTTTACAGATGTTATTATGCGCAAAATTGTGAGGAAAGTTTTCCCTTTCAGCCTTCGATAACCCGAGTGCAGTTTAATTAATTTGGCAAACTAATACTCGATACTGACCAGTGCATGTAGACGCATTAATATATATGTTGCAAATATTCTTCAATTAATTGCTTTTGTGCCAATTGTGAAATCTGCGACTCGCATGCATCAGAAAACGGTGGTCTATTATAGGGGGTGGGTCATTCCGCAAACCGTCGTATTTCATTTTTCTTAACATGCACGCTAGTATTTTCGTCGTGAAAACCGTATATAACCGTCATGCATTTTTCTTATGCAGTAAAAGTTAATCGTCCATGCAAGGGCAAAGTGGGTAGATTTTCGTTGAGAAGCATAAAGATTTAACTGATCAGGAATATTGCGAAGCATCTGCAGTTGGAGTGTGAGATGTGAAATCGAATAAATCTGAATATAGGAACTTAAATGTTAAAATATTATACCTTCAATGTATATTAAGGTTACTTTATATGATGAAAACACAGATTTATATATTGAGGGGCTGGAGATCTGCCATGCAGCTTTCATTGCCGCAAGATTTTTTCGAAAATATTAAAATGCGACCGAGATATAACAAAAAATGTTATAACCACTATTTTTTGCCGAGAAAGTTGTAGTTGTAATTGACAATATGTGGATAGATGTGATACTCGCTACTGGATGTGTGACTGTCAACCTAGCCGCTTGCGTCTTCGTGGTGCACGACATATCTTCTCCTGGATTTTAATTTGGCCGATTTAGATGGCTCTGTAGCTATGCCCTCTTTACCTTTACGTTTCGCCGGCATATTAGCAAGTTCTTCTGTCTGGTTTCTTGCACGTACGGTTTGTGATAACTGAACTGATATAATGAGTAAATGACGGTTAGGTGGAAAACGCGGACATCTGGACACAGACATGCGGACACGAAATTTACTAAAGTTCAAAAAATTTATTACGAGAATAATTAATAATCATTGAATTCGGTTTTCCCGTGATGTCGAAAATTATCAAGGCCGAGGTCGTGTTATAAAACTCTTAATGTTGTCTTAGTTAGTAGGCTCGTTTAGTGCATGTACTCCGCGCTTCTTTTTAGTTTTTGTAGCTACATTGCTTTTCTAACTTTACTAAGTTTAATCAAATTACAGTTAGAGATGATAAGAGAGAGCCGGAAAACCCCGCCAAATCTATTATCGTCTTTTACGGAGAATGGAATATGCTCAGATTGTCCCCACAAATAGAAATGCACCGCGCACGTTTTTCGATCCGATTCTCTCCAAACTTTGCCACAATGTTGAACAATAGTACAGGAGCAAATGAACTGTGTTCGCGTTATTAATTTAGTGCCATACTTTTCAAGTTATATGCATCTGTTCTGTCGTTTTCACAAACTTGTCTGCTTTATTTCAAAGCAAATGCACTACCTGTCAAAAAAAAACGCAACACGGTTTTGTTAATGATCATTTGAGATGGGAAACGTGATGTTTCGGACGTCCTTGAGCTAAATCAGAAGCGTGCAAATCTCATGGGGAAAAACTTGAAAATTGAGTGCGCGGTGATCATTTTGGTGAAATTGGTTTCCATCATATGGAGTAGTAACCTAAATCAGTTATATTCATGTGTGTCTCGCATGATTTAGGGTGCCTCGCATATAGCAAAGAATTTCAATACTGCATATATAACTAACTAATATTGGAGGCTTGTGGGGGAGTACAGACAGTTGTCTGTAGGAACTGTTGAAATTTTTTGCCGACATTTTTCTGAACAAAGAAAATTAAAAACAAACTACTTCAGCCATTTATTATAAAAAAATACTTCATTTAATTAATAAACCTTTTATTATGTAAGTACTGAACAGGAGCTAGGAAACCTTAGCTTGCATGTGTACCGATCAGTTCTAAACTCTTCTCCCTAAACGTCGCCCCGGCCAGTAAGGACCATCCTTCATTGGCTCAGTGTTACTATAGCGACAGCTAGGAGGAAACATAACTTTCGATATGCAATTTGGTCAAAGGAATCATCCCTAAACGTCGATAGATATAATTCAGTTTGTTTTGTTTTGTTTTGCGGACATGTTATTTCTTTCAGCCTTGGCTTTTTGGCGAAGCTTTCGCTGGATCCACATCCAGTCTTCTGTCTTCATTGCCTCATTGGTGCTATTATAATTTAATACACTCATGCTTACGAATCGAAACTAGCTAGTCATAACAATATGAACGTGATGTTTTCACAAATACCAAACAATTATATTTCCGCCGCATGCAATCAAATTACTTTAATTTGATTAAGTTGGCTATGCAAACCTACCAGGTCAAAAATCATATTGTGGCTTATTAGTTATTACTATGGTATCAAGAAAACGAAATATCTTTAAAAAATAAAAAGCAAAATACACTAATTAATATTGAATAATGAGAAAACAAAATACAAAATGCGTGATAGCGACTATCTTTTCATCTCCAAATTACGGCAATTAGAAATATTTCGAAAATTCGGTAATTTAAAAATATCTTTAGTTTTACTCCCTTAATTTACTCTTTAGCTTCCGCGTTGAATTGCCTGCATGTCTACAAAGTCTTGTCTTCATTGATATATGCCTATGGGCATGGCCATGAAAACATGAGAGTTTACTATAATGGCAACGAAATTTAAGTCTGCATTTCATGAGGCAGAAAGAACAGACAATCATGTTCAATTGACTATATAAATATATAATATATAAACTTAAGTTAGTTTAGTTTAGTGTGTCCTTATATACACTGGACCTCGACGAAGAACATTTTAATCAATGATTATAACGAAGGTGTAATCAAATAATATCACGAATGTTGACAATCTGAAACGACAAATACATGCAAGATCTATATAAATAAGTAGCTTATATAGACTCTCTCAGTAGTAAATAAATCGAGCAGTCTAGTTTAAAGTCGCCTGTCTCGCGTGATGTATTCACAAATAGCCTACCATGCAGTAATCAATAAGCACACAGCCTCAACATTGACGGCGAGTCTGCAGGCCATTATAATATTAACGAACAAGGAAATACGTTCCTTTCAAGGAATTGGCCATTGCCATGGGCGATAGACTATATACACTCAGTTTTATAAGTCAAATGTTCCGCTACTGAGTACTGGCATTATATATGCTCAGCTTTCTCGATATTCTTCAATTCTATTTACTATTTTAACTCTTGCATATATCTCAGTATTTATATTTTCGACTTAGACCGTAAAATAAACTAAAAAGATAAAAATGACCACGACAACAATTCACTATTGAAATAATCAGTGATGACGTCACTGAAGTCATATTATTATTATGTGATTTGCGCCTTACGAAAAGTGTGTGTACACGATTTGGTAAATGGAAATCAAGTTTGAATTCATGTCACGTTGCAACACTAACACTTTTAATTTATATAATTTAAATACATTCAGACTTCAGTTTACACTGCATGTCGATATCTATACTACATATATATCGACAATCGACAACAATTGCTAATCCTGAACCAATTTATATTCTAATTAGCATGCCTGTTTATACGTGTCGTTTCATGTTAAACTTCCTGTTCAAATACAACAGTATTGATTATTGTTGATTATATCGTGCAGTCATATCATATAGCTATCATGTCCTAACACATAGCCAAACGGAATTACCAGAACTTCTGAATATCAAGTCTAAATGAAGTATAAACAATGTCGATAATCGACGTTTTAGTTGCTGTCATCATTGTGTTAATGCTGAGATGTGATAGTGTTCTTGCTTCGAAGGGTAAGTCATTAAAAATTAGATCACATTCGTCAACACCGAATCTGCCATTTGATAAAACTGCAGGGATTTTTGCTGCATGCAGAATATTCAAGTCAGTTATAGGTTGTTAGCAGCGGACAACGGATACGCATCAAATGTTAAAAGCAAAGCTGAGGACTGTTCAGTAAGTCGCGCGGAAGTGACATATTATACCCTTCGTGAACCTCCAAATTACATAAGTGAAGATATAACGTAAGTATCCAGGTCCAGCCACTTGTTCAGTTGATCGAAGTATAATTATTGTTATCATAGGTCGTATTTCCCGTCAGTCATATTGTGATATTGATACAACTTAGCACTCGTACCCGAGACTAGCGTCAGTACGTCATAGACTCTAGCTCGAGAGACAGACTTGCATGAGTGGTAGCTGGTATTTTAGGTTAATTTTATATTGGTATATCAAGACAGTATCATTCCTTATGTTACACGAATAAGGCCTGGACAAGGGGGCAAGGGTAGCTAGCTTAGTATTGCAAGTGCCTGAAAAAGTCTTGGATACCACCAGAAAAATATTATTAAACTGTAGTGCATCTGTATCTAATCTGAAACCAAGCTACAACAAGGGACTAATCTCAAATTGTTAAAGAGGGATAAGATCATGTGGTTTTAAAGCAGCGAAAGCGGCGTACTATATACTGTTTTATTATTATACTGCTCTTGTCATAGAACCTTTACTAATCGACTGCTATATGAAAAACGTTGATTTCAGGAAGGCCTCTTAAATAAGAGCTTTATTCCTTTGATTCCTTTAACAATCATTGACCGGTTTGTTCAAATGAGCAAATGACCAGCGGCTTAATGCTCATAGTCATAGAGCGCCGGTCTTGTTTAGATTAAAAAAATCCTTGCAGTTTAGGCCATGTAAAAAATATCCCGGTTTATGATCAGTGGCAGCGGAAAAAGAACGTGCGGGCGGGCGGATATATTTTTTATTTTTTACCGAATCACATTTAGTAGGTGCACGGAAAAAGTACGCTTAAACACGCAACACAGTTGTTTGGTATAATATTTTCAATGCTATTACACTAGCTTTTCATTAATATTACAAATCAATTGCCATTCAAGGGCTGCTCCATTCAAGCAGAAATTTTGGACATTTGCCTATTAAACCAGAGCTCGTTCCCACTCCCCAGAAATTTCAGCGATAAATGGTTGCAAAACGCCAAAATCATGAACTGTTATTGCTTTTCTGAAAAGTACGGACGGATACATAAATTTTGTAATCCGATAGAATAAATCCGTATGTTGTGACGCGAAATAGGTGCGCGGTCAGACAAAAAAGCGGCATATCTCAATCGGAGCATGCGTAGTCTCAAAAGTATGAGCAAATTCAGAATCGCTTCACTGTGACGAGCATTTTGATACTAAATTATTGTTGTTTCGTCCTAAATATCTGGCGGCAAAATGCGTATTTCTTCAATCAGGCCTGCGTGTAAACACAGCCACAGGCGCTATCTGCGCATTTGGTTGATATTGCCTGGTTTTAAAGAATTCTCGCTCAACTGGACGTATAATTAGCACATCATAAAGCCTAAACCAAAGATACACGATTGCGCAGCATATTCCTTGAGTTTCAGAGTCAATAAAAGGATGCTAACGTTGTTTGTTGTTGTATATGGAATCTCGCAAAGGCCAAAACTACCGAGACCGCTGTGGGAGATCTGGCCTGATGTATCGCATTTCTTGGTATAGCAGTAATGCAGTATTTGCATTTTATTATATATTATATCCCTCCATGCGTTTATATGGACTTTATATTTATGTTTATATCAATTCAGACTTAAAAATGATCTAAATTTGAAATGCTTGTCTATGTTTGATGCGCATTAGAGTAGATCGCTGCATATGTCCTACTTATACGGGCAATTTATTGGCATGTCGTGTAGAACTTCTTCAATAGTTTGCGTTGGATGTCGCTCACGCTGGACAGCTTCGTTTGGGAGTCTCATATCCAGAGGCGCCGGAATATCGATAATTGGGGGGGGGGGCAGATATTCATATATTCGTGTTCTGCCCAATTAATTTCTTTTGAAATCGATTGTTTTTACAGTTTGTGAACACGAATATATGAATATCTGCCCTCCCAATTATCGATATCTGCAGTCATATCGATACAGCAGCGAACTTCCTCAGCTTTCCGTGGGTTGGGAACACAAACCGGGGGAGATACCCATTGGGTTGGGACGTCAGTGTCCTCAATTATGCCTGCTTCTTCCAGCTGCTGCAGTTCCTTTTCAACAACTTGCTTTCGAATGTCAGGTTTGGATGACAGGTTTACTAGACACATTTACTAGATCCATGCACCCCCGGGAAATTTTTTAAATTCGGGCCTCTGAAACAGTATTTCCTGCGTTCTGGCGTCACCTTTTAAATTAATTTAATGGTTAGAAGATACATGTTTTTAAGATAATTTCAGACTAATATACGCAGCTCAAACAATGAATTGAACTGTCGAGAATTCGCCTCCGCTTTAACGTAGTTCCCGACAAGTCACGAAATCACAAATGGTTTAATAATGTATTATATTTAACCCAACAGTAACAATAAATCAATTAATAGAATAGTGTAGAATGTTCTCCCTTGTGTCCCAGTTAACGTAATGTTCCCAATATATATATATAGCTATATGTTCGCTGTTTGTCTATCGATTAGACCTTCTCACAATCGCTCACAGTCACAGTCACAATTCTCTCTCGAATATCTCGCTCCTTGTTACTCACTCGTTTTTAGCACACTCCCTCGACCCATTCTCCTCTAATCTCTCTCGACTTCGTGCGTCATGCATGTCAACATATTAATTAGATCTATAATTATCAGTCAGTTCCGACACACTCCCCCATATATCTCAACTGAGATATATGCTCACTAAGGGACCGACATCGTCGTAGTTCCTTATGGTCTACCTATATAAACAACTAAAATGTTAGTTAATAAAATATTAAAATAAATGTCACCAATCTTCTTCTTCTGCTTCTTGTTGTATACGGACGGTTGCTGCAGCTGCCGCGTCACGTCTCGGTCTAGGGTTGAAGGTAGGGGCGGTCGGGTTCAAACTTACGGGTGGTTCTCTGTCGCAAGAGAGCTCGAGTGGGTAAAGGTGTTGTACCGCTCGTTCGAGTTGTCCATTCGCTGTTTTTACCTTCGCTCCCCGTACAACGCCATCACGTCCTCGAATTAACCCTCCGACTATACCTAACTTCCACAAATTTCGATTCTTTTCTTCGCTTCCGAAAATAAGCGCATCCCCACGGTTGGGATGTGTCCCTTGTTCGCCCTTTTCCTGTCGATGTCGTTCTCTTAAGCCTCGCACATATTCTCGTGACCAACGTCTCCACATTAACTCTTTGCACTTTCGAAGAAACTTAGCTCTTTTACGAAGGTCAACGCCATCAAGATGGTGGGGTTGAACTTCGGGGATAACATTCGGGTTAATTTGTAACAGTTTGGTTGGGGTGAGCACAGGTTGTTCCACATCATCTTCTAAATAGCTTAACGGTCGATTGTTCAGCGCTACTTCGATGTCCAGAATAACATCCATCAATTCTTCCCAGGTTAAGTTTCCGTTTCCAATACTCTTGTAAAAACTCCGCTTAAAGAGGCCTATCAATCGTTCAAATCGTCCTCCCCACCATGGGGCCCGACTCAAATTAAATCTCCACCGGATTCCTTTGCCCGTAAGAAGTGCGTTGAATCTCTCGTCTTTCTGAGCTTGTTTCAACCATTTCTCCGCGGCTTTAAAGGTTGTCGCGTTGTCAGAATATATCACTTGTGGCCTCCCCCTTCTTGCAATTAATCTCTTTAAACTCGGCAGGAATTCGACTACTTCCAACGACTTTAATAATTCGAGGTGCACCGCTCTTGTCAAACTACACGCGTAGAGTACTAGATACGATTTCTTTTCGGCTTTAGTTTTGTAACGAATAGGGCCCGCAAAATCGACTCCTAATACTTGGAAAGGAGTTGTCCCTTGGGTTCGTGTTGGTGGTAATCTGCCCGGGGGTGGTCTATGATACGATTGTGCCCGGAAGCTAGCACAACCATGACAGTTGCTTCGTATCTGTTTCACAAGACGGCGTAGTCTAGGCACCCAATAACGTTCTCGTACTTCTGCCATCGACGCCGGTACTCCGCCATGGAGTGTAATGATATGGGCTTGCTCTACAACTTTCTTCGTGAAGACCGTGTTCGTAGGTAAATATACTGGATAGTCGCCTTCGATCCGCCCTCGACACTCCAGGATTCCACTTTGGTTAGGTTGAAGATTCAGCTCAACTTTTGCACTGGAAAGTTCGGGGTTATCTTTGGTCTCCTCTTGCACACGCTTGATCCACCATAGCATACGCTCTTCGATTTCGTCGGTCTTAATCGGCCTTGATTCACGTTTGTTGCTCTCGTTCCTGCAGTTTCGAACGAATCTATTCACCCAAGCACAAATTCGTAGGGTTTTTCGCAATGGATACTTTCCAAGGAGCTTGTCGAGCGCGCAAGCAGTCAAGCAGTCAAGACGTGTCTGAAATAGCTCCCATGTCTCTGTAAAAAGGATTACTTGGCAGAGGCCTTTTACTGATAAGAATTTTACAGAGTCATATATGCTTACTTATTACGGCAAGTAATTTATCAGAATGCCAGAAACAGGTCAAAAAAACGTTCAAACAAGAAGTCAAGCGAGGGCACCACCCAACTTCGAAGGCGACGACATGAAGGAATATATTAAATCAGAAGTTGAAAAATATTTTGGTTCAGTGGCGTTTCAGGATTCGCTACGCGAATTTATTACCGATTCAGTAAAAATGGCGTGTAAAAATCTTGTCGAAAGTATAGTTGTGCCAATTAAAGATGAAATCCAAGCCTTGAAAACAGAACTTATCGAAGTTAAGCGAAAATGCAACGACAATGAGCAATATTCGAGGCGTTCAAGCGTTAGAATTTATGGCATTCCCGAGGGGCCCAAAGAAAATTGCATAAAGAAAGTGTGTGATTTCTTTCAGAAAGAAATGGATTTGGCGTTTGCAGAAGAAGATATTGATAGAACCCATCGTGTAGGCAAGAAAAATCGAGATGGAAACCGCGCCATGATTGTAAAGTTCAAAGCTTATGACAGCAAAAGGTCCGTCATGAAAGTAAAAAAAGCTAGATTAAGTAACAAAACCTTTTCTGTCTACGA